AAATAAAGCTTCAATCATTCACCCTTTTGAAGATGCAGTTAGAGAAAAAGGTATTATACAGTTTATGCCACTTTTCACAATGTAGTAAATATATATTCCAATTTTCTCATAAATGAAAGATTTTAAAAGAAGAATATTTTGCTCCTTACAAATAACTTCTTTCTTCTCCTAACCCTGGGGAGAATAATCAGTGCCCTTAATTTTAAGATTTTTGCTATTATTATTTGTCCATGTCAATTATCTTTTTCATGAAGTATAATATTTTGAAATATATATAAAAATGAAAATTAAAGGGAAAATCTGCTTTTAGAATGCAACAATTTTAAATCAGTTCACTAAGAAGCACCTTTTGATATGCTGGTCTGAACCTTTAATGCAAAACCTAAACAGTACTTATTTCTGAAGTAGAATTTTCTCCAGTTTTAATAACTTCATACATAGCAATACAGACAACATCAACCTGTGCTTTCTAGATTTCTGTTGGTGTTCTAATAGTTTAGCAATAGTTTAGATATGGCTCATTCTCAAGGTTGGGTGGACAGAGATTTCATGATAAATTGGCTACAGAAAGCTAACTAAACTCTTAATGACTAAATAACGGTTTGCATTTTGTTGAGTCAAATTAGACATGTAAGCCGAGTACCACCACATCCCTGCTTAACATTCTTAAGTTTCTTTATTCTTCATAGTCTTCTACTGAACAAATAATTAGTTTTCCTGAGTAAGATTATAAAAAAGTTAACCTTTCTTCCAAAAGTATAAAGACAAATAAAATGTTGACTCACAATACAAATTTTGTACATAGCATTACAGGTACAGAGATACTGACTGCTGCTCTTCATTATGATTGGCCCACCCCTTTAAAAGACTGCAAAGGATTCAATTGTCTAAAATACTTTGAAGTACAGTAATTAAATGCTTTAGGCCATACACATATCCCTCGTCTATCGTGTTGCTAGGGAACACATGAGCAAAATCTATCATTCGCACTTCTACTTCTGCAATCTCTTGGCAATCAGTGGGAAGATGGTAGAAAACTTTTTCCAGTTGGGAAAGTACATTTCCATTTAAATGTTCCTGTGACATGCTTTTCCACCCATTGTCTTGCTCCATATTTTCAACTTTCAATGAAGTCTGACTGTGATGCTTTTTTGAATACATTTTTCTGTGACGAGCATACATCTTGGACAAGCTTTTGCCTACTGAAGCTTCTATTTTTCCATTTGCTGTGGAACTTAACACATGAAAGTTATTATTGTATTCCAGTACTTCTGTGTCTGACAGTTGTCCTTTGGACAAAAACTTTTCTGCCAGAGTTCTGTCATTCGATTTTGTAGTGGTTGGCTGAGATGAACCTTCATAAACAAACAGTAATGAACTTGCGTAGAAGTTAAGCTGCTCCTGGCTTTCAAACCACTGCAGAATTTTCTTAATTTTCTGAATACTGGCAGCAATAGCGTCTTTTCTTAGGGAGAACCCATTATGAAAAAACCTGGAGACCCCTACAAAAAGAATAATATTAGGATTATAATCAAATTATGAAACAGCTATCACCTTGGGAAATAGACTCGTTGTAGATCAAATTCTTGAATTTTTCCCCCATCATCCTTTAAAATTAAGTGAACAGTTAATTATAGAATTTTAAGAATTCTAGTCAGATTAGGAACTTAGACCACAATTTTTAGTGAAGATGCTCTTATTAGAAAGCATTTAAATGACACTAATGTAATGTGAAATATCCTATTTAGACGAAAAGGAAATTTATTACAGGTAGACTAGTAGTTTAGTTCTCTCTCTATATTCTCTTGAAAAATATGATTCCAACATTTCCTACATTTGCTATTGTGAGGAACTTCATAGTAAAGTTACTTGTTTGTTAGAATCACATTTAAGGGCAAATCTAAAATCTTGAGTTAAATTATAACCTTTTTTTTTTTTTTTTTGAGACAGGGTCTCACTCTGTCACCCGGACTAGAGTGCAGTGGTATCATTAGCTCACTGCAACAAACTTCTGGGGCTCAAGAGATCCTCCTCCCTCAGCCTCCCGAGTAGCTGGGACTACAGGCACATGCCCAGCTAATTTTTCTATTTTCTGTAGAGACAAGGTCATATCCTTGCTCAAGCTGATCTTGAAGTCTTGGCCTCAAGTAATCCTCCAGCCTTGGGCCTCCCAAAGTGCTAGGATTATAGGCATGAACCACTGCGCCAGGCCAACAACCATTTTTTTTTTTAAGTGAAGGAGTCTCACTCTTCTGCCCAGGCTGGAGTGCAGTGGTGCGATCATAGCTCACTACAGCCTTGAACTCCTGGACTCAAGCAATCCTCCTGCTTCAGCCTCCCCAATAGCTGGGATTATAGGCATGAGCCATCACACCCAGCTAAAATCATTTTTAATGGGATCAACAACCCATTACCAAATACCAAACCATAACTCTTCTAATTTTTATTTGTTCTCAATAATAAACTTCTAATATAATATTATTTCCAGGAATCGAGCATATTGTTGCTTTTATGATATCTTGGCCACAAATATTTTAGAAGCATGTATGTTAACAGACTTTATTTAAATCAGTGTAATGTCATTTGATTATTCGTTATGTATCTCTAGAAGCTTGTAATATATGGCACAACTATGCATGGGAAATTTCAATAAAAAATACATTATATTCTACAACACACATTTTTAAGTCTCTTATGTAGCAGGAAGTTTTAATGTACTATGATCTATAACATTTACTTTAAAAATGATTTAAAGACAACTCTAATTCTAGTATTGAGCTAGATGGTTGGTTCATGGATGCTCATTATTTTTTAAAAAGTATATTAATAAGTGAAAACACAAAAGAGGGCCACTCATGGTGCCATGGTTTTGGTGTATCATGAACCAGTGAATATAATTAATCCAATTCTGACAATCTAAGTTTCATTTTAAAAACAAGTTTATTATCAATTGACTCAGTATTCCAAAAGAGAATTAAAACTGAAATAACTTTAGAATTATTTTAACTGTTCAATAATTAAAAGCATTAGTTTTTTAATCCTTACCATCCTTTATAGTTTCTTTTGTTAAGCTTCTTCCATAGTGCTGGTTTTGTGTCTCATAGCTATCAGTATGAACATGATAAACCTGTCAAAAAAAAGCAGTGAATATTAAAATGCTAATACTCCTTGACCATGTGGGGTTTATCCTAGCAACTGAAGGGTAAAAGACGAGATCTACTCATACAGTTCATTCTAACAGATTTGAGAAGAAAATAATCATATAGTCATATCAATGGATGCTGAAAAGCCATTTAGCAAATCTGACACCCACTAATGATAAAACAAAAAATCTCTTTGTGATATAAGGATAGATGAGTATTTCCAATATGATAAAATTATCTATCTCAATCCACCAGAAGTTAGCCTCAAGTTTAACACATTGTCTGCCACACTAGAAAGAAATGTTTTTCCTTGGGGCCGCGGTGTTTCACTACGAAAATAGAATAAAAACTTCAAAAACAAAATGATCCTTTCTAATTTAATGAAAAATTTGTTAGTTTTTATTGTTTTCTGTGCGTGAGTAATAAACAACATGAAAATAGTTCTCACGGCTCCCAAGGTGAAGAGATGTGAGTTACATATGCTTCACCAGGCCCCGTGCTCAAAACTAGCATGAGTTAAATACAAGTCACATGGCAGTTAATGTGTTAAAGGGGAAATAAGGAAGCATTTCTTTTAAAATATAAGAAGCTTCTACAAAAAGTATTCTACCACAATGTCCTTTTATGAAATTATTATCTAATCCTGTTCCAGAATTACTAGCAAATGTAAAATAAATAAGAGAAAGGAGTATAATAATTTGGAAAGGTGGAAATAAAGCTATTGCTCTTTGTAGATAATTGTTGTACACTGGAAAATCAACTGAAAAATGAAAACAAACAATAAAAATTTGAAATGATAGTTGAGTACAAATTAGTAAATAGAAAATAAGCTTTCATATATAGAAATAACCAGTTAGAAAATGTACTGAAAGAAAAGACCCCATTTACAAAATACAACAAAAATAAAACCATAAAAATAAACCAAGTATAAGAGCTATAAAAAGACATCTTTTAAAACATTCCTAAGACACACACTCATGTTCTCAGAGAAGATTCAACATCATAAAAAATATCAACTCTGTGTAAATTAATCTACAACTAAAATGAGATTATAATAAAAACACCAACAACTTTTTAAACTATACAAACTAATCCTAAAGTTCACATACAAAAACAAGAGCCAGGAAAAACTGAAATAGGATTAATAAGGTGGGACTGATCTTATCAACCTCCCAGACAATTAAAACGTATTTTAGAATCAAATACATGTGAAAATTTAGTATGTGATAACGGGATTTTAACTCAGTGGGAAAAGATGCATTATTTATTAAATTGTGTTAGTCTGAGTAAGTAGCAATTTGGAAAAAAATAAGTTGTATTCGTACCTCATACACCTTATGCCATGATAAATTTCAAATGCATCAAAGATCAAAATGCATAAAATAAAAGGAACCTCCCAAACATGGAAGAATCCTTGAATAACTGATAGCCAAGGTAGGCATTTCCAACCAAAACTCAGAAATTTCCAACACATACATTTTTAAAATGTTCACAGTGGGTTTTTTTTATATGTAATATTCATACACATGTATGGGGTGCATGTGATATTTTCTTACATGAATAAAAAATATAATGATCAAGTCAGGGTATTTAGTATTTATCATTTCTATGTGTTTACAGGATTTTTGCTGCATGGAAAGCAAAGAGAGAGAACTATTTGAAATTTATATGATGAAGAAAAGGCATGTTTATACTTACACACAAATGAACAAAGGATCTCAAGAGTTCATAGAAACCAAACAGCTCTCAAACATACCAGGAGCATAGCCCTTCCTTCCTCATTGTGACAACCAAATAACATCTCTAGACAATGCCAAATGTTTCCCTGTGGGAAAAAAATTGCCTGTGGTTGAAAACCACTGCTCTATATCAGGCAAACTGCCAGTATCTCTCAAAATTATAAATGCACGTAAGCCCAGCAATTCCCCTTTAAAAACTCATCCCATAAATATGCTAGCACAATGATAGAATGAAGTAGGTCTATGGTTACTCCCTGTAACATTATTTGTAATTGCAAAAAGACCGCAAACAATCAAAGGATCCATCAAAGGGAACTAGCTAAATTACAGTATAATAATACTATGCCGCTATGAAGACATCTCCATGATAAAGGAGAATAAAGCAAGATACAGAACAGTGTTCAAGGTAGGTTTTGTAATAAAAGAACATGTATGTATAGTATTTGTGTGTTTAAAACATCTCTGGAAGGACATATTGGGGAAAAAAATAACTATAATATGGTATCCTGTGTAGAGGCAGACTATTCACTGTACAGGCATATCTTGTTTTATTGTGTTTTGCTTTATTGTGTTTTGCAGATATTACATTTTTTGCAAATTGAAGGTTTGTGGCAATCTGCGTCAACCAAGTCTATTGGCACCATTTTCCAACAGCATGTGCTTACTTTGTGTCTCTATGTCACATTTTGGTAGTTCTTGCAATATTTCAAACTTTTTCATTATTTTATCTGCTATGGTGATTTGTGATCAGTGATCTTTGTTGTTTCTATTATAACTTTTTTGGGGAACCACAAATCGCAACCATGTAAGATGAGAATTTAATTGATAAATGTGTGTGTTCTGACTGTTCTACTAACCAGCCGTTCCCCATCTTTCTCTCTCTGTCTCCCCCCAGCCCCATCCCTTTCCTTGGGCCTCCCTATTCCCTGAGACACAACATTATTAGGCCAATAAATAACCCTATAATGGTCTCTAAGCATTCCAGTGAAAAGAAGAGCTGCACAGTTCTCACTTTAAATCAAAAGTTAGAAATGATTAAGCTTAGTGAGGAAGGCACGTCAAAAGCCAAGACAGGCTGAAAGCTAGGCCTCTTGTGCCAAACAGCTAAGCTGTGAATGCAAAAGAAGAGTTCTTGGACGAAATTAAAAGTGCTACTTCAGTGAACACACAAATGATAAGAAAGCAAAACAGCCTTATTGCTGATATGGAGAAAGTTTTAGTGGTCAGGATAGAAGATCAAACCAGCCACAACATTCCCTTAAGCCAAAACCTAATTCACAGCAAGGCTCTAACTCTCTTCAATTCTATGTAGGCTAAAAGAGGCTCTAACTCTCTTCAATTCTATGTAGGCTAAAAGAGGTGAGGAAGCTGTAGAAGAGAAGTTAGAAGCTAGCAGAGGTTGGTTCATGAGGTTTAAGAAAAGAAGCCATCTCCATAACATAAACGTGCAAGGTGAAGCTGCAAGTGCTGATGTAGAAGCTGCAAATTATCCAGAAGATCTAGCTAAGATGACTGATGAAGGTACATCAAACAACAGATTTTCAATGTAGACGAAATAGCCCTCTACTAGAAGAAAATGCCATCTAAGAACCATTGCTAGAGAGTCAATGCCTAGCTTCAAAGGACAGGCTGATTCTCTTGTTAGGGGCAAATGCAGCTGGTGACTTTAAGTTGAAGCCAATGCTCATTTACCATTTCAAAAATCCTAAGGCTCTTAAGAATTATGCTGAATCTACTCTGACTGCGCTCTATAAATGAAACAACAAAGCCTGTTTACAACATGGTTTATTGAATATTGTAAGCCCACTGTTGAGACCTACTGCTTAGGAAAAAAAGATTCCTTCCAAAATATTACTGTTTATTGACAATGCACCTGGTCACCCAAAAGCTCTGATAGAGATGTATAAAAAGATCAATATTGTTTTCATGCCTGTTAACACAATATCCATTCTACAGTTCATGGATCAAGGAGTAATTTCAATTTTCAAGTCTTATTATTTAAGAAATACATTCTCTGAGGCTATAGCTGCCACAGACAGTAATTCCTCTGCTGGATCTGGACAACGTAAATTGAAAATCTTCTGGGAAGGATTTATCAATCTAGATACCATTAAAAACATTTGTGATTCACTGGAGGAGGTCAAAACATTAACATAATAGGAGCTTGGATATTCCCCCTTTACTAAAGCTGGAATGGAAAGAGATCTGAGAGTTTCTACAATCTCTACTCACTGTCCACTCTTGGCCAGCAGCAAAGATATTTATAAATCAAAACTTACACTCTCACCCTGAAAACATGTAAATATGTAGCAAAATGGTATCTAATTTTTTTTTAATGGAAAGAAAGCTGGGAGATGTGTGTGGGAGAACAGAATGACAAGCAAAAGCAAGCTCCAGCTCTTCCTGGACCCTATTTTACGATATGAGTTGCTCATTTTATATGAACTTAAAATGTCAGGAGCAAACGAATTCAAACATCTTTAACAAAACATATTTCACCTTAAATCAATTTATGGGACAGAGGAATCTGAAGTGTTACTATCCCGCACTATTATAAAGAGAAAAAGAAATACAAAGAATGAATCTGAGTTTGAGACAATGTGATCAATAAAGATCAAAACAGAAGTATTTTTTCTCAAATTAGGAAATGTTACTTCTCTTAAAAGAGTATTCCTTTGTCAAAAATTTTGTTGCCAAAAATATACTGAAACAGATAAAATTAAATAA